TCTATCCGTTTATGGGATGTTAAGACAGGATAATAAAAAGCCAAATTAGATGGTCATTCAATTTGGGTTAATTCAATTTGTTACTCTCCTGATGGCACTACATTAGCATCTGATAGTGCAGATAAATCTATCCGTTTATGGGATGTTAAGAGAGGATAATAAAAAGCCCAATTAGATGGTCATTCATTACGGGTTAATTCAATTTGTTACTCTCCTGATGGTACTACATTAGCTTCTGGTAGTTCAGATTGTTCTATCCGTTTATGGGATGTTAAGACAGGATAATAAAAAGCCAAATTAGATGGTCATTCAAATGCAGTTAATTCAATTTGTTTCTCTCCTGATGGTACTACATTAGCATCTGGTAGTGGTGAACCATTTAGAAATGATAACTCTATCCGTTTATGGGATGTTTAGACAGGATAATAAAAAGCCAAATTAGATGGTCATTCAGATACTGTAAGAACAATTTGTTACTCTTCTGATAAAAATACATTAGCATCTGGTAGTTCAGATAACTCTATCTGTTTATGGGATGTTAAGACAGGATTATAAAAATCCAAATTAGATGGTCATTCAAATGCAGTTAATTCAATTTGTTACCTTCCTGATGGGAATACATTAGCATCTGGTAGTTATGATAAATCTATCCGCTTATGGGATGTAAAAACATCAAAGGAAATACTTAAATCGGATAGTAGATATAAAGATTTGGTTGCCTAGTTTAAAATACCTCTTCAGAATAGCTCCTTATAACCAAATGGTATTTATTATTAATTATTATTTAGTTAATCCTGATCGTACAATACTTAGAATATGTTAGAATCCTTAGTTAGAAGCATCAGGAACACTTATCTTATAAGGATAATTCATGAATTATTAAGGGATAGATTTAAAACCATTGTTTAAATCCAAAGGAAGTTTCTTTTTAGAAAACTTAAAGCAAAAGTTAATTTGAATATTCATTAAAAACATTACAATTATAATTTTAATCATTTTCTTATAACTTATTTGGATAATATGTTTCTTTTGTTTAAATTCTTGATCTTCAAATTCTTAATATTGATAAGCACATGTTTTTCAACAGTACTCCATTTCAAACAAGTGATTAAACCATTATAGTTAAATAATATTTAAATCTTTGGTAAATATTGAGATGCGGTTATAAATTAATATTTATAGAATACAATACACTATTAAATTTATAATCTAAACAGAGTACAGTAACTGGTTATAAACAGGTTAAGTCTTAAAAATAGATAATTAATAGTTTAGTAAAATTTAGATTTCTTAGTTTTTAAAAAAGAAAAGATAGAATTAATAGCAAAGATAACATTTCAAAAAAGAATAAACTTAATCCTAGAAATAATCTAAACTATAACATTAAAATTACTCTACTTTATTCTTAATATTGTTTCATAATGGGTAAAAAGAATTAGATATAAAAAAGACTGAAAATATATATTAATCATCAATAAGTATTATATACCTTAAAAGGATCAAGATTTAAGGAGATAATTATTATATCTTCCCCCTAACAACCATCTAATAATCTTAAATGCTGATTAACTCAAGCTCAATGTGAATTCTTACATAAATTTAACAATAATTAGTTATAATCACTCATACTTCATATAATCGATATTATTTTCAAATGAGCTCATTAAGTATTAACTAGTACAATTTTAAAATTCAATTAATTCATTATGAAATAAAGAAATTACCCTAAATTGTTATTGTTATATTCATAAACATAATGGAGAATGTTCAAAAATTAACAAAATTGTTCTTCTCTATAACTATGAATTTAACCCTATTAAAGAATAAATTTTTAAATTAACTAAATTTATTTAAATTACATAAATGTAGTATTTTCTCTTAAAAGTTTTAATGTTGCAACTTGATATAAAAAATAGTTTATTATTTAAATATAATATAATACTTGTGAATTTAAAATTTCACATATCTCTCTTGTCCCCCTCTTTCCAATTTTTGCTCCTCTACTTCTATTCTTCCTTTTTACCTCCTGTGGCATAGGGGGGTGTCAAGTATAAACTTTTTGTTCTATCCTGCTTTGCTCATATCACTTCCCTCATCTCATCTATTTCACACCACCCACCGCCCTCCGAAGCAGGGGCCCTTACCATAAAGCTTTTTTTTTTTTGTGTTCAGAAGACATAAAATTATATTAATTTCTCGTCCCTTAATTACAAAAAAATGATATTATGTTCTTTATTCTCTTTAATAAATCAAAAAATTCTCCAAAAGCTAATTAAATTGCTGTATGGCACAAAAAGAAAGAGATAGTAATCACTTCTAGTTAAGGCTTCTTATTTAAAATGATATCTCTCTTTATTAACCTAAATTTCGTCATATGTATTGGCTGAAAAATTATTCGATTATTCTGTCCTAACACCCCATAAAAGGATGGAGTTATCCTCACTGCCAGGTGCTAACATAGTATCGTGATTCTTATTTTTAATAAATTATGACTTTTTAGATCAACCTGCATCTCAATTAAAAAATTCAGCGAGTCCGACCCCCCTTAAATAAAACTTTTATCAATTACTGTTAAATATACAAGAAATTTTAAA